GTCTTTTCTGCCTTGATCTCTTCATCGGTCTTCTGGTTCTTCATCACTTATTGTTTTTCATTACTTTTTACATTTTGCACTATGGGATCTAACAACATTCAACTTCAGAGAGAAAGTCGAACTCACTACATCCATATATACGAAGAGGAGTTTTTACTCTAGATTGGTCAAGTTGACTTATAAGCTGAGTCATCCTCAGCTCTTCTTCAACTTCTGAACATACAGGTTGTCTAGACGACTTCCTGGGTATGAGGTTGTAGGCTTCATCTTCATCATTCTCAAGGGTTTCAAAAGATGGAAGATGGGTTAAGATATATATGGGTAGAGGGATAAAAGGTTTAGCTTCTTAGGTGACGGGTACAAACCTGGAAGAAGTGTTTGTGTCCTCAAAATGACTGAGTGCCCATGAATTATGGCAAGGTTTTCTTCAGCAACTCCTTTTCCTTTGCTAGAGGAGTGATGGTGCGATGATCTATGCCCCTGGGAAGCAGGTTCCCTGAAGGATATTCCTTTGACAGGCTGTCTTGGTATGATCTGAACGAAGAAATCATCATCATCACCACCAAGGTCAGTACCTGTGTCTAGTATCTTAGGCTCATAGTTCTCATAATCATCATCATTTTCATCATATTGTCACCAGCATTTGGAAATGAGAGGTGAAAGGATGGAGGTCTTCATGGTCAGCAATAGTAACCAAGACATTATTATCATCAATGGCTTCAGGCATATTCTCCCTGGCATCCTCAGCAGGGTTATCCAATTCCTTTTCCCTAAGGTCCTTTTTAGTAGCCTTCTCCCCCTCTTTGTCATAATCAACATTATTACGTGAGAGAGGGAGGCGAGAAACCAGGTCTTGCAGCTTTTGCTCGATGGAGGCAATAGTTTTGGCTTGTTAAAGGTTGAGCTCAGCAACCATATCCAGCTGATGATGATCAGCTACTCTGAAGGAGGGTTTTGGATAGGTGTTGGTTGTTGTAGAAGTTGGAAGATCCGTTCAAGGAGCTCACCATGCTTGGTAATCTGAGCCTGAACATATTTAGCTTTGCTGGAGAGAGCAATGACAACTTCATAGTTGTGATAGATTTCCGTCTTCATGATGTTCAACTCATCTTTGACTTCACGAACCTTAACTTGAACAATAGAGAGGTCGTTAGCCAAGTCATCCTTGTTGTAGTTCATCAATTTTGTCAAGGACGTTGCAACAGCAGGGAGCAGCAGCTTGACATCCCCAGCCATATCACAGGCATTAGTATCAGTGACTGGGGGTTCATAGGACCTGTAGAAATAAGAGAATACTAAGCATGAGAAATCTCGGGGTTAATAACAAAGAAAGAAAGGGAGGGCGTTTAGTGAATACATGAGGGTTCATCAGCAGTATCTGAAGGATTACCACTGAACATCTCAAATGCGATGTAGAGAGGATCAGACGCATGTTGCTAAGGGGATTCGAGAGAAGCATTCTCATGTCCTATGGTGATAGCTTGACCAATAGTGGGGATAACCACTATCGAGTCATTAGCTCGTGTAATAGAGACCAAAGAAGGAGGGGAGGATAGAATGGTTGAGAAGAGATGTGAAGGATCAATAGTGGCTATGTTGGGAATCACACATTCAGTGATTTGAGTCACTGAAGTGGTTGGGTAGGAGCCACACATATGACAACAACTGAAGATATTGCTGAAGAAGAAGGGAGGGTAACAACAGATGCCTCGGCGGTAGGGTGAAGTTCAATGTAACATCCAAGTTCCAAATTATCCAATTATTTGTTTAGAATAATTGATTATTTATTGGGTTATAGTGGGTTTATAATTTAGTGGGAGTTTGTAGATCCAAATGGGTTCTTAGACGGGCCAAGCCGGCCCAACTTGAGTTTAGCATTATAAAATAGGAGATTTGATCCATTTTTCCATATCATCTAAGTCTAGAACTCTCACCCACACTTAAGGTGCGATTTACACACATTTAAGGTTAATCCTTCAAACCGTGAAGATCCATGTTAGATTCTTGAAGATTAAGTGTTAATCATCAAAGGTATGCTTCTAATTTCAAGTTTATTTCAAGTAGAAGTGTATAAATTAGAGGCTAGATTMTGTTTTTGAAAGATTATAAAGGATAATGTTGATTATTGTGTGAATCGGAAGCTATTTTGGGTAAGTAAGTAACATGCAGTGAGTTTTATGGCTAAATCTGGGTTTAAGTATGGTAAAAACAGGGGTTTAACAGAGGATTTTACAAGAAGTGTAAATAGGATAATCAAGATTTAAAGTGTATAATTTAAGGTTGAGATATGRTTGGTTTTGATTCTGAAATGTTTAYTCCAGGGGCTGTTTTTAAGGCTAATTAGAACATTTGAAGGTTTATCGCTATTGTTGGTTGGATTGGAAGTTACCGCGTTTGGTCGTTTATAAGAAAGCACTGTGAGTCTATATCAAACTTATACTTATGTATAGTATAAATATATGAACTTTTGTTGAAAATTTGTTGAATTTCTTGCATGTGTTATTTTGTAAGATAAATTTCTCCCAAACTGTGTTTCGGTACCGCTTAATCCTGTTAAATTTATGTTTAAGTCCCGGATCCGAGACTGTTTCATTGGTTTTTAGTTGAACCATGATCTATGGGTATTACTTTGTGTGATGCGCCGTAGCATGGTGTATGTCCACGTATCCCAGGGAGAAGGAGGTTGGGTGTGGCATACTGGTTGTATTCACGTATCCCGAATGATAAAGAGCCGAGTGTGAATACTTGCACAGGCCCTGTAGATGAAGGGGGGTATGGTGCACATAAAAACTCTATTTTGAAAATGGTACCTTTGGTGTTGAACACCCTTTTGGGCTGAAATTGATCTTATTTATCTTAAAAAGTCTTCATAAGCGCTGTATGTTAAGATTGGAAATTCAAAGTTTTTATGCTGTGATTAAATGACCAAGTTTGGAATTATGAATCCTTTGAGACCATTGACCCTCTGGTTGTATTGATCCATCGATCCTCTGGTTGTATTGAGACCATCGACCCTCTGGTTGTATTGATCCATCGATCCTCTGGTTGTATTGAGACCATCGATCCTCTGGTTGTATTGATCCATCGACCCTCTGGTTGTATTGATCCATCGACCCTCTGGTTGTATTGTCCATCGGCCCTCTGGTTGTATTGATTCATCGGCCCTCTGGTTGTATTGATCTATCGGCCGTCTGGTTGTATTGTCCATCGGCCCTCTGGTTGTATTGATTCATCGGCCCTCTGGTTGTATTGTCCATCGGCGCTCTGGTTGTACTGATTCATTGGCCCTCTGGTTATATTGTACTTTGAATCCTTTGAGACCATCGAACCTCTGGTTGTATTGTACTTTGAATCCTTTGAGACCATCGACCCTCTGGTTGTATTGAGACCATCGATCCTCTGGTTGTATTGTACTTTGAATCCTTTGAGACCATCGATTCTCTAGCTGCATTGCGTTATGAATCCTTTGAGACCATCGATCCTCTGGTTGTATTGATCCATCGATCCTCTGGTTGTATTGATTCATCGACCCTCTGTTTATCCATCGGCCCTCTGGTTGTATAGACCAGCGACCCTCTGGTTGCACAGTGTTTTGGACAATTTTATCAGATTATTTTTTGATCAAATTCTTAATTAAACGACTCTTTGGTTCTGCTTCGTTTATGATTTGCTTTGTACTTATAATATATATAAATATAAGCTTTGGTATAATCTCACTAAGCCTTGTGACTTAATCTTTTAGAATGAACTTTCTTTTCAGGAAAGCTGATAGCTGCCCAGGTGAAGGATTAGACGGTTTAGATCTTCTGTACGAGTATCGTTTGAGTCGGATCTAGGTATATAATACTTTTGAGTAGATATATTTGTATTTTATGGATCCGACTTATAGTACTGAAAATCGTCTTTTGCAGACTATGTTATTTTGTCTTTTGGTGGAAATCTATAACATATATCCCGTATTTGCTTGGAGACTGTTTTATGGAAATATTTATTTAAATAAATAGTTTCTTTTATTCAAAGAGCGTAACTGATGTTACATTCAATAGTTGAGACATGTTGAGAGGTCTCAGCTAGCTTAGATGGTTTCCCCTTTGTGGCTTTCTTAACCCCCTTTG